GTGCTAAGGATAGAGTGACACCATCGTCCCCCCACGTCGTTCGCAAGTGGTGTCAGATGATTGGACGAGGACACATTTTCAGTGCTTGTCATGGATGCTATCTTCCATAGACACGCCCCCTGGACTGGACTTCCCCGCCTGTGCAGGTAGCAGACAAGAGGGAGGAGTCTGTATCACTCATTCCTCTCTCATTGATTGGCCAAGGCCTTCCCACCATCAGGTGGATCACAAAGCAAACTCCAGCTTATGGGAAGGAGTGAGATTCCTGATTATTCCTGTCTGTGACCCCAGATGGGAGATTTTGGGGAAGGAGGGGGTTGTGGAGTTATGGGGTTGCAGGGTAGGGTGTTGTGGGGTTGTGAGTTGGGTGCTGTAGGGTTGTGGGTTGCAGGGTTTGGGGTTGTGGGGTTGCAGGTCGGACGTTGTAGGGTTGCAGGTTGGGAGTTTTGGGGTTACAGGGTTGTGGGTTGGGAGTTGCAGGGTTGGGGGTTGCGCGGTTGCAGGGTTGGAAGTTGTGGGGTTGCAGTTTGCAGGGTTGGGGGTTGTGGGGTTGCAGGGCTGGGGGTTGGGGTCAGGAGTTGTGGGGTTGGAAGTTGTGGGGTTGCAGGGCTGGGGGTTGGGAGTTGTGGGGTTGCGGGGTTGGGGGTTGTGGGTCGGAAGTTGTAGGGTTGCAGGTTGGGAGTTGCAGTGCTGGGGGTTGTGGGGTTGCAGGGTTGGGAGTTGAGGGGGGGGTTGCGGTTTGCAGGGTTTCGGGTTGTGAGGTTGCAGGGTTGGAGATTGTGGGTTGGGAGTTGTGGAGTTGCAATTTGGGAGTTGTGGGGTTGTGGAGCTGGGGGTTACGAGTTGGGAGTTGTGGGGTTGCGGGTCGGGAGTTGTGGGGTTGCAGGGTTGGGGGTTGCGGGTCGGGAGTTGCAGGATTGCGGGTTGGGAGTTGTGGAGTTGGGGGTTGTGGAGTGTGGGGTTGCAGGGTTGGGAGCTGTAGGGTTGCTAGGTTGGGGGTTAAGGGTCAGGAGTTGTGGGGTTGCAGGTCGGGACTTGTGGGGTTGCAGGTTGGTAGTTGTGGAGTTGCAGGGTTGGGGATTGCGGATCGGGAGTTGTAGGGTTGGGAGTTGTGGGGTTGGGGTTGTGGGTCAGGAGTTGTGGGGTTGGGGGTTGCGGGTCGGGAGTTGCAGGGTTGCAGCGATGGGGGTTGTGGGTCGGGAATTGTGGGGTTGCAGCGATGGGGGTTGTGGGTCAGGAATTGTGGGGTTGCAGCGATGGGGGTTGTGGGTTGGGAGTTGTGGGGTTGCAGCGATGGGGAGTTGTGGGTCGGGAGTTATGGGGGTTATGGGGTTGTAGGGTTGGGTGTTTGTGGGGTTGTGGGATTGAGGGTTGGGAGTTGTGGGGTTGCAGGTTGGGAGTTATGGGGTTGTAGGGTTGGGTGTTGTGGGTTTGAGGGTTGTGGGTTGTGGGGTTGTAGGGTTAGGGGTGTTGTGGGGTTGAGGGTTGTGGGGTTTCAGCGATGGGGGTTGTGGGTCGGGAGATGTGGGGTTGCGGGTCGGGAGTTATGTGATTGTAGGGTTGGGGGTTGGGTGTTGTTGGGTTGCGGGGTTGGGGTTTACAGGTTGGGAGTTGTAGGATTGCAGGGTTGGGGGTTGTGGGTCGGGAGTTGGGGGGTTGTGGACTGGGGGTTGCGGGGTTGCAGGGTTGCGATTTTTGTGCTTTGCTCCACCCAGAATGAAACGCGTGGTGCAGGTGAGGTCAGCTCCACCATACTGACTGCACATCAGTCGGTATAAATCCTCGGAATCTCAGCGGCCTGAGCCGAGGTGTCGCCGTTGGCAGGAGGTTGTTCTGCGGAGAGATTGGCCATTTTACAGTGGAGAAGAGGCAGAGGTGTCAGGGGACAAGCCGGTGACCCCATTGTCTGGGATGTCAGCCAATAAGTAATAAGGTCAGGGGTCAGCTGTCACCGAGAAGAGATAAATGGGTCCCTGGGGGCCACGGAGGAGCGGAGTCACACTGTTTGTTGCTTTGATGGATCCGAGGCTTTCACAGGTTTTTCTTCTCCCTCCTAATAAGACTGATGGGGCTGCAATTACCACCTGACCTGCCATGACTCCCCGATCGCAGCGAAGGTTCACAGATCGTCCCGTCCGCCGAGCGACTGTCCGCACCGCCTCTCCCTCATAACGACACAATGAAAGGATCGTTCTCTACTCTGTGCGGAATGATCTGGAATTGGTGGCAGAGAGCGCACAGTTATCACTGGCCATGCCTGTCCATCCAGACATAACATCCATTTCTCCTGATTGTATATCACTGACATATACCGCAGTGCTGTACAGAGAACACTGAGCCGGTCACTGCTCCTGAATAATGGTTAGGTATGGGGGGGGGTACACTATATAGCCAAAGTACTGGACCGCCAGTCTTTCCATGCACATGACCTGTAATGGCCCTCCAGTCTTAGTCTGTAGGGTTCAATATTGAGTTGGCCCCGCCCTTTCCACGCACATGACCTTTAATGGCCCCCCAGTCTTAGTTTGTAGGGTTCAATATTGAGTTGGCCCCGCCCTTTCCACGCACATGACCTTTAATGGCCCCCCAGTCTTAGTTTTTGTAGGGTTCAATATTGAGTTGGCCCCGCCCTTTCCACGCACATGACCTTTAATGGCCTCCCAGTCTTAGTTTGTAGGGTTCAATATTGAGTTGGCCCCGCCCTTTCCACGCACATGACCTTTAATGGCCTCCCAGTCTTAGTCCGTAGGGTTCAATATTGAGTTGGCCCCGCCCTTTCCACGCACATGACCTTTAATGGCCTCCCAGTCTTAGTCCGTAGGGTTCAATATTGAGTTGGCCCCGCCCTTTCCACGCACATGACCTTTAATGGCCTCCCAGTCTTAGTCCGTAGGGTTCAATATTGAGTTGGCCCCGCCCTTTCCACGCACATGACCTTTAATGGCCTCCCAGTCTTAGTCCGTAGGGTTCAATATTGAGTTGGCCCCGCCCTTTGCAGCTATAACAGCTTCAACTCTTCTGGGAAGGCCGTCCACAAGGTTTAGGAGGGTATCTATGGGAAGGTTGGACCATTCTTCCAGAAGCACATTTCTCAGGTCAGGCACTGATGTTGGGGGAGGAGGCCTGGCTCACAGTCTCCGCTCTAATTCATCCCAAAGGTGTTCTATGGGGTTGAGGTCAGGACTCCGTGCAGGACAGTCAAGTTCCTCCACCCCAAACTGGCTCCTCCATGTCTTTATGGACCTTGCTTTGTGCACTGGTGGGCAGTCATGTTGGAACAGGAAGGGGCCATCCCCAAACTCTTACCACAAAGTTGGGAGCATGAAATTATCCAAAATGTTGCCTTAAGAGTTCCCTTCACTGGAACTAGGGGGCCAAGCCCAACCCCTGAAAATCAACCCCACACCATAATCCCCCCTCCACCAAACTTTACACTTGGCACAATGCAGTCAGGCAAGTACCGTTCTCCTGGCAACCGCCAAACCCGGACATGTCCATTGGATTGCCAGACAGAGAAGCATGATTGGTCACTCCAGAGACCATGTCTCCACTGCTCTAGAGTCCAGTGGCGGCGTGCTTTACACCACGGCATCCAATGCTTTGCATTGCACTTGGTGATGGAAGGCTTGGATGCAGCTGCTCGGCCATGGAAACCCATTCCATGAAGCTCTCTACGCACTGTTGTTGGGCTCATCTGAAGGCCACACCAAGTTTGGAGGTCTTTAGCTATTGACTCTGCAGACAGTTGGTGACTTCTGCGCACTGTGCGCTTCAGCATGCGCTGACCCCGCCCTGTCATGTGACGTGGCCTACCACTTGGTGGCTGAGTGGCTGTTGTTCCCAGTGGCTTCCACTTTGTTATAATCCCACTAACAGTTCAGCGTGGAATATTTAGTAGCCAGGAAATGTCACGGATGGACTTATTGCCCAGGTGGCCACCTATCACGGGACCACGCTTGGAGTCACTGAGCTCCTGAGAGCGACCCATTCTTTCACCAATGTTTGTAGAAGCAGTCTGCATGCCTAGGGGATGGATTGTATACACCTGTGTCCATGGAGGGGGAGGGGAACACCTGAGTCGCATGATTGGGAGGGGAGGGGGACAACACCTGGAACACCTGAATCACATGATTGGGAGGGGATTGGAACACCTGAATCACATGATTGGGAGGGCGGGGGAGAATACTTCGGGTAATATAATGTGTATTAGATCGGTTATTCTATAGATTATAATACACAGTTATAGAGAGGTGATAATAGCGCCTCTCATCATCATCATCATCATTATAGAGACAGTGACTGTAATCATGGAGGATGCCGCTATTATAGAGATGAGGATTACCACATACAGCTCATATATAGAGGATACAGTTACTATACAAAGGCAGAAACACACAGACACGGGTATTATAGAAATAATAAAGCTGGATATAAGTAGACATAATATAGAGGTGATGCCCGAGGATTATTATTATTATTATTATACAGGATCTTTATAGCACCAACAGTTTGCTCAGCGCTTTACAATATAACGGGAGACAATACAGCAACCATACAGTTCAATACAAGAGGGATAGGAGGGCCCTGATCATGGGAGCTTACAATCTAAGAGGGAGGGGGGCTAGTGGTACAAAAGGTAGTAACTGTGGGGGATGGACTGGTAGGAGGAATAGAAGATTCCATTATTAGCTGAGGGCAGGATAGGCTTCCCTGAAGTGATAGGTTTTCAGAGATCGCCTAAAAGTGGGTAGAGTAGGCGATAGTCGAATAGATTGGGGTAGAGAGTTCCAGAGGATGGGATGAGGCTCTGGAGAAGTCCTGGAGACGAGCATAGGAGGAGGAGACAAGAGAGCTAGAGAGTAGGAGGTCGTGGGAGGAGCATAGAAAACAGTTTGGGTGATATTTGGATACAAGATTGGTGATTTAATTTGGGGCAGAGTTATAAATGGCTTTATATGTGATTGTTAATGTTTTGAATTTTATTCGTTGGGCAATTGGAAGCCAGTGGAGGGATTGGCAGAGAGGGGTGGAGGACACAGAATGGAGGCCAGTGGAGGGATTGGCAGAGAGAGGTGGAGGTCACTGAATGAGGGCCAGTGGAGGGATTGACAGAGAGGGGTGGAGGACACTGAGTGGAGGCAAGTGGAGGGATTGGCAGAGAGGGGTGGAGGACAATGAATGGAGGCCAGTGGAGGGATTGGCAGAGAGGGGTGGAGGACACTGAATGGAGGCCAGTGGAGGGATTTGCAGAGAGGGGTGGAGGACACTGAATGGGGGCCAGTGGAGGGATTGGCAGAGAGGGGTGGAGGACACTGAATGGAGGTCAGTGGCGGGATTGTCAGAGAGGAATGGAGGACACTGAGTGGGGGCCAGTGGAGGGATTTGCAGAGAGGGGTGGAGGACACTGAATGGGGGGCCAGTGGAGGGATTGGCAGAGAGGGGTGGAGTAGTATATGCTCAGTTTTGGAAAGATTGACTTTGAGGAAGTGGAGTGACATCCATGCCGATATGTCACTTAGTAGGTTAGTAATGCAAGAGGAGACTGAAGGGGTGAAGTGAGGAGGAGACTGAAGGGGTGAGATGAGGAGGAGACTGAAGGGGTGAAGTGAGGAGAGAAGACTGAAGGGGTGAAGTGAGGAGGAGACTGAAGGGGTGAGATGAGGAGGAGACTGAAAGGGTGAGATGAGGAGGAGACTGAAGGGGGGGTGAGATGAGGAGGAGACTGAAGGGGCAAGGTGAGTAGAAAGATAGATTTGTGTGTCATCAGCATAGAGATGGTACTTAAAGCCGTGGGAGTTTATCAAGTGACCAAGGGAGGAGGTGTAGATGGAGAAGAGAAGGGGTCCAAGGACAGAACATTGAGGCACCCCTACAAAAAGAGGAAGTGGGGAAGAGGAGACAGAGTTATAGGTAACACTGAGGGAGCGCTGTGATAGGTAGAAGGAGAACTGGGAGAGAGCAGAGTCTCAGAGGCCAAGAGAGTGGAGTTTATTGAGGAGGAGGGGATGGTCAACAGTATCACAGAGAGGTAAAGTAGTAAGAGTACGGAGCAGTGGCCATTGGTTGGGATGAGTACGGAGCAGTGGCCATTGGTTGGGATGAGTACGGAGTAGTGGCCATTGGTCGGGATGAGTACGGAGTAGTGGCCATTGGTTGGGATGAGTACGGAGTAGTGGCCATTGGTTGGGATGGGTACTGAGTAGTGGCCATTGGTTGGGATGAGTACAGAGTAGTGGTCATTTGTTGGGATGAGTACGGGGTAGTGGCCATTGGTTGGGGATGAGTAGGGAGTAGTGGCCATTGGTTGGGATGAGTACGGAGTAGTGGCCATTGGTCATGATGGGTACGGAGTAGTGGCCATTGGTCGGGATGGGTACGGAGTAGTGACCATTGGTCGGGATGGGTGCGGAGTAGTGGCCATTGGTCGGGATGAGTACGGAGCAGTGGCCATTGGTTGGGATGAGTACGGAGCAGTGGCCATTGGTCGGGATGAGTACGGAGCAGTGACCATTGGTCGGGATGAGTACGGAGTAGTGGCCATTGGTCGGGATGAGTACGGGAGTAGTGGCCATTGGTCGGATGGGTACGGAGTAGTGACCATTGGTCGGGATGGGTACGGAGTAGTGGCCATTGGTCGGGATGAGTACGGAGTAGTGGCCATTGGTCGGGATGAGTACGGAGTAGTGGCCATTGGTCGGGATGAGTACGGAGTAGTGGCCATTGGTCGGGATGAGTACGGAGTAGAGGCCATTGGTCTGGATGAGTACGGTGTAGTGGCCATTGGTCGGGATGAGTACGGGGTAGCGGCCATTGGTTGGGATGAGTACGGGGTAGTGGCCATTGGTTGGGATGAGTAGGGAGTAGTGGCCATTGGTTGGGATGAGTACGGAGTAGAGGCCATTGGTTGGGATGGTTACGGAGTAGTGGCCATTGGTTGGGATGGGTACGGAGTAGTGGCCATTGGTTGGGATGAGTACGGAGTAGTGGCCATTGGTTGGGATGAGTACGGAGAAGTAGCCATTGATTGGGATGAGTACGGAGTAGTGACCATTGGCTGGGATGGGTATGGAGTTGTGGCCATTGGCTGGGATGAGTACGGGGTAGTGACCATTGGTTGGGATGGGTACGGAGTAGTGGCCATTGGCTGGGATTGGTACGGGGTAGTGGCCATTGGTTGGGATGGGTACGGAGTAGTGACCATTGGTTGGGATGAGTACGGAGTAGTGACCATTGGTTGGGATGGGTACGGAGGAGTAGTGGCCATTGGTTGGGATGAGTACGGAGTAGGGGCCATTGGTTGGGATGAGTACGGAGTAGTGACCATTGGTTGGGATGGGTACGGGAGTAGTGGCCATTGGTTGGGATGAGTACGGAGTAGTGACCATTGGTTGGGATGGGTACGGAGTAGTGACCATTGGTTGGGATGGGTACGGAGTAGTGACCATTGGTTGGGATGGGTACGGAGTAGTGGCCATTGGTTGGGATGAGTACGGAGTAGTGGCCATTGGTTGGGATGAGTACGGAGTAGTGGCCATTGGTTGGGATGGGTACGGAGTAGTGGCCATTGGTTGGGATGAGTACGGAGTAGTGACCGTTGGTTTTAGCAGTTAGTAGCTCATTAGTGAGGTTTAGTAGGGCAGTGTCAGTGGAGTGTAATGAGCGAAAGCCAGACTGTAGAGGGTGAAGAAGGTTGTTGTCGGTGAGGGGGGAGATCAGGCGATTGTAGACTAAGAGTTCTAGGAGTTTAGAGGTAAATGGCAGCAGGGAGATGGGTCTTAAGTTGTTCAGGTTGGTGGGGTCCAGGGAGGGCTTGTTAAGTATGGGAGTGATGTGTGCGTGCTTCAGAGGGGAGGGGAAGGCACCAATAGAGAGAGATTGAAGATGTGAGTGAGGGAGCATAGGATGGAAGAAGAGGGGACCGTAGGAGTTGTGAGGGGACAGGATCCAGGGGGTATCCTTATATATAGGTGATATCAGATGGATACACTCATCATAGACAACACCAGCACACCCCATCATTCTACAGATGTCATTATAGAGGGATATAGTGGTTATATACAGGAAATAAGAGATGAATACACAGAAGAGAGGTGAGTCCAGAGAGAACGTCATTATTAGAGAGGTAACAATAATGGAGCCTATAGACACCATATAGAGGTAATGACAGACACCAGTGCTCATTATAGAGAGGATGATAGAGCCTATCGTTCTTATATAGAGGTGATTACAGATGGATGGTATTAGAACCTTTAGCTATTATAGAGAGATAATGACAGATACTGTAGATGCAGTTATTATGGAGAGATAGTTATAGTGCGGGGTCAAACCTTCCTAATATTAGGAAAGACCAGATTGTTGCCAGTGGGTGTAAAAAATGGCCCCATCATTGGTATCAGTGGGAGGAATAGTGCCCCATCATTGGTGTCAGTGGGAGGAATAGTGCCCCATCATTGGTGTCAGTGGGAGGAATAGTGCCCCATCATTGGTGTCAGTAGGAGGAATAGTGCCCCATCATTGGTGTCAGTGGGAGGAATAGTGCCCCATCATTGGTGTCAGTGGGGGGAGAATAGTGCCCCATCATTGGTATCAGTGGGAGGAATAGGGCCCCATCATTGGTGTCAGTAGGAGGAATAGTGCCCCATCATTGGTGTCAGTGGGAGGAATAGTGCCCCATCATTGGTGTCAGTGGGGGGAGAATAGTGCCCCATCATTGGTATCAGTGGGAGGAATAGTGCCCCATCACTGGTATCAGTGGGAGGAATCGTGCCCCATCATTGGTATCAGTGGGAGGAATAGTGCCCCATCATTGGTGTCAGTGGGAGGAATAGTGCCTCATCATTGGTATCAGTGGGAGGAATAGTGCCCCATCATTGGTGTCAGTGGGAGGAATAGTGTCCCATCATTGGGGTCAGTGGGAGGAATAGCGCCCCATCATTAGTGTCAGTGGGAGGAATAGTGTCCCATCATTGGTATCAGTGGGAGGAATAGTACCCCATCATTAGTGTCAGTGGGAGGAATAGTGCCTCATCATTGGTATCAGTGGGAGGAATAGTGCCCCATCATTGGTGTCAGTGGGAGGAATAGTGCCCCATCATTGGTGTCAGTGGGAGGAATAGTGCCCCATTGTTGGTGTCAGTGGGAGGAATAGTGCCCCATCATTGGTATCAGTGGGAGGAATAGTGCCCTATCATTGGTGTCAGTGGGAGGAATAGTGCCCCATCATTGGTATCAGTGGGAGGAATAGTGCCCCATCATTGGTGTCAGTGGGAGGAATAGTGCCCCATCATTGGTATCAGTGGGAGGAATAGTGCCCCATCATTGGTGTCAGTGGGAGGAATAGTGCCCCATCATTGGTGTCAGTGGGAGGAATAGTGCCCCATCATTGGTGTCAGTAGGAGGAATAGTGCCCCATCATTGGTGTCAGTGGGAGGAATAGTGCCCCATCATTGGTGTCAGTGGGGGGGAGAATAGTGCCCCATCATTGGTATCAGTGGGAGGAATAGGGCCCCATCATTGGTGTCAGTAGGAGGAATAGTGCCCCATCATTGGTGTCAGTGGGAGGAATAGTGCCCCATCATTGGTGTCAGTGGGAGGAATAGTGCCCCATCATTGGTGTCAGTGGGGGGAGAATAGTGCCCCATCATTGGTATCAGTGGGAGGAATCGTGCCCCATCATTGGTATCAGTGGGAGGAATAGTGCCCCATCATTGGTGTCAGTGGGAGGAATAGTGCCTCATCATTGGTATCAGTGGGAGGAATAGTGCCCCATCATTGGTGTCAGTGGGAGGAATAGTGCCCCATCATTGGTGTCAGTAGGAGGAATAGTGCCCCATCATTGGTGTCAGTGGGAGGAATAGTGCCCCATCATTGGTGTCAGTGGGGGGAGAATAGTGCCCCATCATTGGTATCAGTGGGAGGAATAGGGCCCCATCATTGGTGTCAGTAGGAGGAATAGTGCCCCATCATTGGTGTCAGTGGGAGGAATAGTGCCCCATCATTGGTGTCAGTGGGAGGAATAGTGCCCCATCATTGATGTCAGTGGGAGGAATAGTGCCTCATCATTGATGTCAGTGGGAGGAATAGTGCCCCATCATTGGTGTCAATGGGAGGAAAACTGCCCCATCATTGGTATCAGTGGGAGGAATAGTGCCCCATCATTGGTGTCAGTGGGAGGAATAGTGCCCCATCATTGGTGTCAGTGGGAGGAAAAGTGCCCCATCGTTGGTGTCAGTGGGAGGAATAGTACCCCATCATTCGTGGCAGTGGGAGGAATAGTGCCCCATCATTGGTGTCGGTGGGAGGAATAGTGCCCCATCATTGGTGTCAGTGGGAGGAATACTGTCCCATCATTGATATCAATGGGAGGAATAGTGACCCATCATTTGTGTCAGTGGGAGCAATAGTGCCCCATCATTGGTGTCAGTGGGAGCAATAGTGCCCCATCATTGGTGTCAGTGGGAGGAATAGTGCCCCATCACTGGTGTCAATGGGAGGAATAGTGCCCCATCACTGGTGTCAATGGGAGGAATAGTGCCCCATCATTGGTGTCAGTGGGAGGAATAGTGCTCCATCATTGGTGTCAGTGGGAGGAATAGTGCCCCATCATTGGTGTCAGTGGGAGGAATAGTGCCCCATCATTGGTGTCAGTGGGAGGAATAGTGCCCCATCATTGGTGTCAGTGGGAAGAATAGTACCCCATCATTAGTGTCAGTGGGAGGAATAGTACCCCATCATTGGTGTCAGTGGGAGGAATAGTACCCCATCATTGGTGTCAGTGGGGGAGGAATAGTGCCCCATTAT